ACTGTTCTTAAATTCAGATTAAGTCTGGAAAGGAGTAAACTTGGATGAATGTGGGGTTATTCTTGGTAAGTGCCCTGCTGAATGAAAACCTTAATAAATAAACAAACACAGAGAGATCTCCAGCACTGCAGGAAGATTGAAAATGACTTTTCCAAACACAGTCGACACACTAATACTCTTTATTTTTACACACACACACCTACCCCCCCGCGTTAGCCTCAATTGGAGTTGGAAGCTAGGGCCCAGCAGCCTGATAATCACAGATCAGGCTCAGTGTTACCTTTTGGTGATGCTTATCACATGGTGGCACAAAACTTCAGACTTGCTGTTGAAGTTTGTGGAAGGAGGCAACCACCAGTAATAGCTTTTGTACTAGATGCTGAGCTTTCTTATGGTCATCAAAGCTGTCCTTCGTGTGGATATTGCTGGACATGGATGGTAATGGCAATGTGTTGTTTTAAATACGGTATTTCAGCAAGATCAGATTTAGTACGGAAATAGGACATCAATTTCTGCTTGTTAAATCTGTCCGCCTTCAGGAATTTAAAGGAACAAAATAGTTGTGCTGAAAGTTTTGTGGGCAGTGGAGATTGTATCTGAACAGTTTGGCTTCACTGAACAGCCTTTGCATTAACAATTTGCCAAATGTGTTCAATTTGCTCCCATTAAAACATTTTGGGAGCGCATTTGAAGTTCTGGTCAGTAAAGTATTCATCTCAAATTACAGCTTTTGTTATTAAATACAGTTTGTCAGTTCCCTTGATTACAGAAATCATACATTAGTAATCAAAATATATTTGCCATTTATATATACATATACACACACACACCAGATGTTGGGTTCATCACTGAGGACAATTAAATGCATTGTAAGGGCTATATCTGTGTGAAAGAGGGAACTGAATATCTTTTTCTAAACTTCTTGCAGTGGCTAGATGTGTAAATAAATACAGACTGCAGAGTAATGAAGACCTGGTCTGTAGAAGCCAGTCTCCACCATTGATGCCATCAAACCTCTCATATCTAGCAAAATTAACCAGTTTCTGCAGCCTGAAAAGCCTAGAAAGCTAAGGGGTTTTTCAGAGGGATAATGTGTGGACAGTGAAAAGTATTCATCTCTACCTTGTATTACCAAAATAAATAAAATGTTACTTCCATATGATAGAAGCTACGCCAAAAAATGACTGTTAGTCCCAGTAAACCCAGTTAACTACCAAAGACTGAATATAAAAGCTCATTAGGTATTTAATAATCCACAAATGTGCAATTTGGAATACAATAATAGTAATTTTAACCATTTTTCTTTTTCAAAATATGGATTTTGTGCTTACACTGAAGCCAGCACCTGCTTAATACTGTGGTTTGCTTTGTGTAAGCTCTGTGTAACTCTGCACAGCTAGGAATGACTCTGACTGTATAGTTCACAGTATCTCACAGCACATACACAAGCATTTTCAACAGTGTGGGCACCTGTACCGTATGAAAAGGAATTAGTAGTTTTAAAATGCTGTTGTAATCAGATCTGTTAGAATATGTAACAGAAAGCACCTTTTTCTTTGTTTTACCTGTTTGAGCTAAAAAGGAGGTTGATCCTCCTGAGTTTGAGGTGGTGTTTAAATTTCTTTGTTTCTACCTTTTAAGAGAAAAAAAAAACAAACTACCAACTCTCTTGCCATATAAATTCTTTTTGTGTGTGACATATCCTTGAACTGTATTTTCCAATTTCACAATGTATGAAACAGATTTGGTTATATTCTGCAACCAAGCAGATGCAAAATGCTTTATGATGTTTTCTGTTTAAATTACTTTAACTGCATTTGGAATGTGAATGGAAGGATGATGATTAATACATATCAATGAATTTTATTAGCAAAAAGGACTTCTAAGGAAAGGCACAGTTTTACTTTTCATAGACATGTTTAGTAAATTAGTAATGAGGTTGTGAAGACCCTCCCTGGTAGACATACCAGGCCTGAAACAGGTATGGTGTATTACTGTTGTGTGCAGTGGTCATGAAACCAGGAGCTTGCTTTCTATGGGGTGTTCCTGCCATAGGTAAAACAGTAGTGAGCTCACAGAAGAGGAACTGGTTGACTCAACACAACATAGTCCTGTTCAGGGAACGGGTGGGAAATTAGGCTGTCAGGCAGGAATAGCTGCTCTCTTGCACAGGTACCTTGAGGCTTTCTAGTGGTATTTTAACAAAGACAGAATCACAGAATCATCTAGGTTGGAAAAGACCTTGAAGATCATCCAGTCCAACCATTAACCTAACATTGACAGTTCCCAACTACACCAGATCCCTCAGCGCTATGTCAACCTGACTCTTAAACACCTCCAGGGATGGGGACTTCACCACCTCCCTGGGCAGCCCATTCCAACGCCCAACAACCCGTTCTGTAAAGAAATGCTTCCTCATATCCAGTCTAAACCTTCCCTGGTGCACCTTGAGGCCATTTCCTCTTGTCCTATCGCTTACTACTTGGTTAAAGAGACTCATCCCCAGCTCTCTGCAACCTCCTTTCAGGTAGCTGTAGAGGGCGATGAGGTCTCCCCTCAGCCTCCTCTTCTCCAGACTAAACACCCCCAGTTCCCTCAGCCGCTCCCCGTACGACCTGTGCTCCAGACCCTGCACCAGCTTCATTGCCCTTCTCTGGACACGCTCGAGTCATTCAATGTCCTTTTTGTAGTGAGGGGCCCAAAACTGAACACAGGAATCGAGGGGCGGCCTCACCAGTGCCGAGTACAGGGGCAAGATCCCTTCCCTGTCCCTGCTGGCCACGCTATTGCTGACACAAGCCAGGATGCCATTGGCCTTCTTGGCCACCTGGGCACACTGCTGGCTCCTGTTCAGCTGGCTGTCAATCAATACTCCCAGGTCCCTCTCTGACTGGCAGCTCTCCAGCCACTCCTCCCCAAGCCTGTACATTTCTTTTGACTGTTTGTGGAAGGAATGGAGTAGGGTTTTATAACACTCCCATTGAACAGTTTTCTTTAAGCAAAACAAGTTTTTAAGCTGCTAGCTCTATTGTGTATTGCTGTAGTCCAACCACAGACTTCAGTTGCAGATTCATGCATGCAAGACTTAGGCAAGCAAACTCGAAATGCGTTAAACTACTGCATTTCTAAGCCTAGGTGAGCTGGCATCTACCCATTTCAGCATAGCTCATGTAGACCACACAGCCAAGCTGAATTATAACTGCATCTAAGAACAGTTCCCTGGCAAGAAGAGAAACTGGGTGGACAGTTTGCTGGAGTTTGTAGAACTGTCTTGACCACAAGCATTGCAGTGCAGAAATGCTTGAGGGCTCAAGTTTTGAAGGAAACGTGGCTGAGCAGAGTGTTATCAGCAGAGTAAATAATTCTGTATGAAGTTCTGTGCTTGACTGCACTGCTCTTGGTACCAAAGCTTCTATTGCATTTCACTGTATTAGCTGCCCATGTGCCTTTAAAGTCCATGTTGAAAGCAAAATTAAGCAAGGTTGTTAAGCTTACCTGGAAGTTCACTAACGTCCAAGATTTCTTAAATTTGTTTGTTTGTTTTCCTTCTTAATATAGCAAGTTTTATAGTTTGTTAAGTGTGGATTCTTTATTTTGGGGGTTTGGAGATTTTTTCCTCCTCTGAAAGAGTCTGAGTTTTTCTCTTCCCTGCCTGAACCACACCAGCCATGGAAGAGATGCAGTAACTACAAAACTTTTATGGATCATTCTGGGTCAAATGTGGCTCTTGGATTTCAGAGTGTTCATTCCGTGATCTGTACTGCTGAGATGTTTAGCCATACCATCTGATAACTTGTGATTTTTCAAAGTATATAGTTTTCATTAGAAATCAACTGAGACTACTAATTACTTTTCATTTAGCCTGTTGACTTGTCTGCAGGTGAAATTGCATAGTAATTGCTAACCAAAGAGAGATTTTTACAGACTACTTGAAGTGTTGCTTAGCCTTTTTAGCTCCTTCTTGGTTTCCACAGGTCTGAGTTCTCTCAGTTTCACCTTTGCAGTGTGAGCATTACCAAGCTATTTGGCCTTTTTTTCTAAACTAAAAAATTCTGTTAAAGTGCACAAATAACCATAAGATGGTTGTATGTTATTGCTGTTGATTCCTAAACCAGTTTAATCCAAGGGCATATTTCACCTTAGTAGAAATCTTTATTGATATGCTGGATAGTACTTGTGGAAAAATGTACACTGTAAGGAAAGAACAAAGTAGGTTTTTATGCAAATAACTTTTTCAAAGACAAAGATAAATGCTGAAATACTCCCATAGTATTCCAAAATACTCCAAAGCTCATTGTAGTAGCCCAAAGACAGCTTCAATACATTTGTCTTTTTGTTCTTAAAGAGAGAAAGTGTGCCTTCTGGCTTTAAAGCCAGAGGTAGGAATTGTTTTAGTGTTACCTTAAATGTATTTGTGCTAGATGCCACTCCTCTGCTCCTCACCTTGGGAATGCTAAATTAATTTCATTTTGGAGAGTGTTCAGACCACTGAAACTGCACACTTGACCCAGCTTGTGAAATGAATCATAGGGTCAAGTATGGGTAAAAGAATATTTTTGTGATCACTCCTTGCCAACAGACAAACAAATCTGTGAGGAAAAAAAATCCCAACCTGTTATAACTGGTGGTTACACTGGTTTGTTTTGAATTCACAATTGTCTGTAGTCTCTGTCAGGGTACATGCGTAAGTGCAAAGAAAAGTTTCAGACCCTTTTGTTACAATCCTTGTGTTGGAGTCAGGACTACAAACATGAAGATTTTTGGGCACCCAGATAGTAAAAATGTTTTATTGTGTGTATTGACCCTAAGTCTATGCTTTATTTGGTGTATATCCATTGTAGAATCAAAATTAGGGGAACTAATCTGCAATATGTAGTATTACTGTATGTTTCTGTCTGTAAGGTTCGAAGCATACATATTCCATCTGTCCTGTGGCTTGTCAGTTGGCAAAAACGTATGCTGATTCCTGGCAAAATTGAGCATTCCTTTATTCTCTGCAGGGGCGGGCTAGCTGAGAGGTTATGTCGACTACAGAACAGAGAAAGATCTGCCATTAGCTTTTGGAGGCATCAGTGTATTTCAGATGCTAAAACCCCCTCAGGTAAGAGGCATTATACATATACTACTGTGAAAAATACATACATGTGTGTATAGACGGTCCACATAGGGGTAGAAATTAAGTTTGTACTCTTTGGAAATGGTGTTTCCAGCAGGTTATAGAACAATTCAAGCTTTAATTTATGGGTGTGCAGATGGTTTTTTAGTTCTTATTGTTTCCTTATAACCACCTTTTCATCTTCCCTTGTTCCCTTTTTTTTTTTTTTTTTTTTGGTTTGAAGTATTCAAGCCGTATTCATGGATAAGTGCTAAATTGTGAAGGACAGCAAATATGGACAAATACAACACAAACATGAAATCAGTGTGAAGCATAACTACAGAGGGCACTTCACTTCAAAAGAAACGGTGGGAGTTATGTGAATTAGTTACAAGTGACAGTACCACCTTTCAGTAGTATTTCTTGAGAGATTAATGGATTCATAGAGTTTAAGTGTAAAGAAATGGTTAGGGTTCTTTATCAACTTGGGGGTGTGTGACTAGGCTATGAAATTTCATGCATTTATTCTGTATTAAGCTGACTACTTGTTTCTGAGCACATATTAATTTCCATTTATTTTTCAGAAAGTCCTCTGGTCTTAATTTGAAAACATGCGGATGAGGGAATCTATCACTTGCCTTGCGAGTTTGTCCTTAATTCCACTCCCAAATTTTTAAAAGTGGGTTTTCTTCCAAATCTGTGTTTGTCTGGCTTCAGTTCCCCTCTTTTGTTTCTTGTAAAGCCTTTCTCCATTAGATTAAAGAGCTCTTTAGTATGTGGCATTTTCCCTCTCTGGCACATGCATAGAAAAATCATGCTGCCTCACAAGTTTCATAAACTAAACAGACTGAGCCCTTTAAGGCTCTCTAAAGCATTTTTACCAGTCTTCAAGTGATCTGCATGGTTTTTTACTGTGCTCTCTCAAACTTCTCAGCGTGGTCTTTAGAATAAGGGCAGCTACTATATATATTCCTCCAGTTTTAGTCTCATGAAAACCATTGGCCAGGTCCAGTTCACTGCTCAGCCTCCTGTATGTTCAAGGCCTGTAATAAGTGTGTGAGTCTGGTTTGACTTTGGACACAGCACAATGCTGGGACTGACTTCATGTTGAATCGATTGTCCAATGTGATTTCATAACTTCTTTAGCTGTTGTTTTCTGAGATCCTGTTTCTTGATCTCCAGCTACCGTTTGTGTTTTTTCTACCTAAACACAGGGAAGTATCTGTGCTGTATGCAGGTTGTCTTCATTTGAGTATGCCCAGCTAACCATGCAGTTCAGATGCTTGTGTATGTCAAACCTGTCCTCTTTTAGTCAAAAATTTGCTTGAATTTGTGGTATCCACACAGTTTCTTACATTATTTTTTAACTTGTTTTTATGTCACTGATGAAACCATTTAATAGCATGAGTGTTTACTTTCAAGTTCTGTTGGAAATGCTCTTAGTCTGTTATGATTCTTCACTGGTAAAAAGCTCTAACTGTAATTCACAATGTTCTCTGAAATATTATTTTTGCGTTCCACTTAAAGGGTACATTACTGATAGTGGAAGTGGTTGGTTTGTTTATTTTTCATAAGAAGGTTGTACGTTTTAAGTCACACCCAAACTGTTGGCTAACGCTGATCTCGCATCTTTGCACTGGAGCTTTAGAGGGATCATCCTGTGGCCACTTGCATGCTACATGTTCAAAATGCCACCCATGTGGAATGGTACATTATATTTCTGACTTTAATTCCTTACTTATTTTTCGAGTTAATTTGCCTAGATTTGATGTCAGGCTAGCTGGTCTCCAGTTATTGTGGGTGACTTTGTTTGCCCTTCCTGAATACTAGCACAATATCATCATCCTTTGTCTTCTGGAATTTCCCAAGTATTTGAAGAGTCACTAGAAAGTAACATTAGAGAACCGTAGATGTCTTTAGCTAACTCTTTTCAGAACTGCTATGTTGAAAATTATACAGGCATGCTGGCTTAAAACCAGTCAAGTCGTCTGCATGTTGTTTATCCTCCACCTGAATTACTAATGGATAGGTTACTTTATTGTTCTTTTGTGGTATGAGGACATTCTCTTGCTGCTTCTGAAATACGGAACAAAAATTGAATAGGTCTGTCTTTTTAATAAAATGAATAGTGTTCTCTATAGTAATGGATCTGCAACATTACTAATATGCTAATATTCTTTTTGTCCTTGCTTTGCATGTGTCAGTACAAAACCTTATGTTTGGCTGCTCACCATTTTGTTAGACTTTAACTCCTAAGCTGAAATGTTCCAGGCTAACATCTGCCTCTGGCTGAATTCCTTTCTTTGATTATTCTTCTTTCTTTCAGAAAATGAGTCAGAATTTGTTAGCATTTTATGAGAAAAAGACTATGGGAAAATACCTTGCTCTATCCCAAAGTACATTTAAAAAATTCTGATGAGTGTCTTCAAGATGATTTAGTTTTGGCAGAAGATGAGCCATTTCTGGGATATGTCTTTTGTCATCATAGTGAAAATCTGCAAGAATGGGATAAGCTTCAACAAGGCCAAGTGCCAGGTCCTGTATTTAGGCCATAACTCCATGGATTACTGCAGCCTTGGGGAGGTGTGGCTGGAGAGCTGTCTGGAAGAAAAGGATCTGGGGGCTCTAATTGACAAGCAGCTGAACATGAGCCAGCAGTGTGCCCGGGTGCCCAAGAAAGCCAACGGCATCCTTGGCTTGTATTAGAAATAGTGTGACCAGCAGGAGTAGGGAGGTGATAGTCCCCCTGTACTCTGCACTGGTGAGGCCACACCTGGAGTGTTGTGTCCAGTTTTGGGCACCTCAATACGAGAGAGATATCGAGGTGCTGGAGCGAGGGCAGAGGAGGGCAACTGTGGAGGTTTGAACTTGGCCGGCAGCCATAGATGCCACATGGCTGGCCCTTCACCTTCCCCTTCCCCCTCTGGTAAGATAGGGGAGGGACAAAAGAAGAGAATTCGTGGGTTGAATAACAAGAAAGAATTTACTAAATATAACAAATGAACAACAGTAGCAATAGTGAGTTCAAAAAAGAAAAGGGGTAAAATGCAACTGTGGCTTACCGAACGCAGTGACTGCCCCCCCCCCAGCAACAATACTGCCCCATGAGCAGACCGGGTGCCACAAACCCGAGAGAGAGGGAGCGACCTGCCACCTGGGCATGACATGAAATACTCCAATGAAAATTAACTCCATCCTGGTTGAAACCAGGACAGCAACAAAGCTGGTGAAGGGCCTGGAGAACAAATCCTATGAGGAGCGATTGAAGGAGCTGGGACTGTTCAGTTTGAGGAAGAGAAGGCTGAGGGGAGACCTCATCACTCTCTACAGCTACCTGAAAGGACATTGTAGAGAGGTTAATGCTGGTCTGTTCTCACAGGTGATTAGCGATAGAACAAGAGGGAATGGCTTTAAGAGAAAATTTTTCACAGAGAGTGTGGTCAGATGGTGGAATAGGCTCTCCAGGGAGGTGATGGAGTCACCATCCCTGGATGTGTTTAAGGGTCGTTTAGATGAGATGTTGGGGGATATGGTGTAGGGGAGAACTTTATAGAGTGAGGCTAATGGTTGGACTTGATGATCCCAAGGGTCTTTTCCAACCTAAATGATTCTGTGATTCTATGATTCTAACTTGGGCAAGTGAGAACATTTACCCATGAACATTTGCTACAATTTCAAAAGATGCTGAACGTGCCATAATTTAGGAATACACTTCAACTTCACAGCCTAAATTTCAGTTCCAATTCCCAGTCCTTATTCCAAAGTATGATGATAATAAAATAATTATTAAAATAACTGTGATAATATTTTGGGGATATTTTTTCATCTAGGGCAAAATTTATTTTTGATAGTTTTGTTATTAGAGTGGCCATACTGTTTCGTGTCACTAAAACAAAACTGGTGTTTGGTTTGGGAAATGTCAGTCAAAATGGTTGAAAGTTTAGTAATGTAATTAGGTAACTTTCTGGTTGCTTCTAGTCTGGAAATGTGAAGTGTCAGCACAGCAAATACCACTTTCAGCTTTCATCTTTTCAGGTTCATACTAAGGGTGTCTCACTAATCTGAGATTCTTCTTTAATTTTGTTTCCGTTCTGTTTTGCCCAGTAATATTTCTAAACCACATTGTTTCCAGGACTGTTTCTGACTTCAGCAACAGAAGTAGAGGAAAGAACTTCTCAAATGACAAACTTAAATGAGTTATCAGAGGAGTCTGAAGATTAATGTGGAGGATTGAAGTAACTTAATTGCTGGGAGAGCTGTCATGTCATTCTGGATATCCCATAGACACGTAGAACAAGAAGTTCATTACTAAGGCAAAGGGGGGTAAATTAAAGTAAAATCAGTTTGAAGTCCTCCTTCCATTTGAGATTTAAGGAAAAACATTTCCAGAAGTGCAGGCTGTTACCCCCATTGGGCATTTCATATTACAGTATTTTAGGTCTTTGTTTTGCTGTTGTTTACTTTTATGTTGTAGCAATGTCCATGCTATCAAAAAACCCCTTCTTTTGGCTTTATTTTAAAAAAATTCCTTTCTGTTTGCTTCCCCGACCCCTTTCTGTAAGTAACCATTGTGGTTTGGCTGTCTCTTGGTCACAGAGATGAATCACTACTCAGAAAAGAGCGCCTCCTTTCAGCACGCACTTTCTGATTTTTATACTGTGCATGGGGGTCTCACTTTTGGCTGATTCACTCTGTAGAGTAGAAAAAATATTTGTGTTTTCTCCATTTTGACAATTTTGGGTCAAAATTGCATTTGGCAGCCTGTCACTGTGTTGGGATAGGCACTCACTAAGGATATGGTTTTTTGCAAGGTGATTGGTAATTCCATTTCTGTAATCAAGCTAACTGTATCAGACAGAGGCCTGAAAGGAGAGAAGACCAAAGCTTGCCCATGCCACACAGTGTTGGTTGCTGTGGTTTCATTCTAACGGAGATTGATGTCAGGCTCTTTGCCACAAATTCAGAAATATTTTCTTCACAAGATGTAAAAGGGATGCTGAAAGGTG